GCCTCCCAAAGTGCTGGGATTACAGGCTTGAGCCACTGCGCCCGGCCTTATTTCTATTTTTTTATTATTATTTTTTAGACAAAGTCTTGCTCTATTGCCCAGGCTGGAGTGCAGTGGTACAGTCCTGACTCACTGTAACCTCTGCCTCTCAGGCTCAAGCAATTCTCCCTGCTTCAGCCTCCTGATTAGCTGGGATTACAGGTGCCCCACCACCATGCCCAGCTGGCTAATTTTTGCATTTTTTAGTAAACACAGGGTTTTGCTATGTTGGCCAGACTGGTCTTAAACTCCTGACCTCAGGTGATCCACCCACCTTGGCCTCCCAAAGTGTTGGGATTACAAGCGTGAGCCACTGCACCTGGCCAAGAAAGTTTTAAAAAAAATTATATCTACATTAAAACCACAAGTCACCCTTTGCTGAATTGAGTATTAGCAGTTGGAAGCAGTGTGTTATTCTTGACCCCATGAAGTGGTACTTATTAAGTAGATTGTTTTTCTTTCTTTTTTTTGAGACTGAGTCTCCCTCTCTCTGTCACCAGTGGCTCGATCTCAGTTCACTGCAACCTCCGCCTCCCAGGTTCAATCGATTCTCCCACCTCAGCCTCCTGAGCAGACGAGACCACAGGCATGCGCCACCATGCTCGGCTTTTTTGCATTTCTAGTAGATACGGGTTCTCACCACGTTGGCGAGGATGGTCTCAGTCTCCTGACCCCATGATCCACCCACCTCAGCTTCCCAAAGTGCTGCAATTACAGGCATGAGCCACCTCGCCCAAGTAGATTGTTTCTCATAATTAATGGCCTAGCTTTCTAAAACCTACTATGAACAACACAAGCATAGAGTTTTCCAAATTCAAGAGGAAAGGAAACCAAGAATCAGGTAGATTCTTAACTGAAATAATTAGGTATTTCAATAGCCTCTTATGAACTTTCTTCCAGAACCAAAAACTTTTGCTAGAAAATCAGCTTTTACGAGAAAAAACTCACAGCCTTGTAGTTGAGAATCAGGAGTTAAGACAGCGTTTGGGGATGGATGCCCTGGTTGCTGAAGGGGAGGCGGAAGCCAAGGTAAATCATCTCCTTTATTTGGTGCCTCATGTGAGAACTGGTTCCAAGTGACATGATTATGTTTACAGTGATTATGTTTACAGTTTGAACTTCTGATCAAGAGCGTTCTTGAAAATTTCCTTCGGTTTTAAGACATTATCATGCAGGCAGAGTGTTCTTCCCCTAAAAAAGCACTTGACATTCATTTTTTAAGTGTGTAGTGATCAACAAGTTACGTGGCTCTGTAAGAACAAGTACTAACAAATGCAGTAGCCAACAAGATTACCATTCAATCATTAAGGAGCACCAAAGTAAGAGAGCCACTCAAATCAGACTCTGAGTGCTACTAAAATTAAAGTAGTCCTTTGATGAATATGAATAAGGAAAGGATTCTTTGTGATAGTGATACCTCTGTGATAAGAGAAGGGTGGTGTGTGATTGACAGAAGGGCAGCTTTACTCTATGAAGGTAATGTTCAGGAAGAATTTAAAGAATTACTTTTCAAAAAGATTCTAGGCTTATATTGCTATAGAACTTTATTATCTAAGAATATTATTATTGAGGATAGCAAGATAAGATATTATTTGTCAGTTCTGCTTAAATCTTTGCCTGGAGGAAGAAAAATGTTTCATTGTGTAGGAAATGTATAAGGAAGTCTTAACCTCCCTTTTCTTATCTCTAGAGGACTTAAATTGGAAATAACAATGGTTAGGGAAAGATTTCAGCTCTAAAGGACAGTTTTCTAGCTTTCTTGAAAGTGAGAATCACAGCTGTCTGGGCAAGCATTTCCTTGGGAACTTGAAGCTGTTTATTCACTTTGGTGTTTCCTCCCAGGGGAATGGAGTGAGGCCAGTGACCGGGTCTGCTGAGTCCGCAGCACTCAGACTACGTGCACCTCTGCAGCAGGTGCGGGC